ACTTCAAACCACTGCCTTTAGGTTCTCTGCAAATCACTGCCAACTCCCTTCTTCCAAAAGATAACCACTATTTTGAATCCTACCACTATAATTTAGTTTTCTCTTTTTTAAAACTATGTATAATAGAATCCTATCGTATACTTTTGTTTCTAGCTTTTTCATTCAACATCGTTTGGGTACGTACATTCATTTCGTAGAATTGATGGCAGTGTTCCATTTTATGGGCATACAGCTAGTAATTCATTTCTACAGTAGATTGACATTTGAACTTTTTCCAGTTCAAGGCTGTCATAAATGCTACTTCTGGGACTTTGTATTCATGTCTCTTGGTTTACATGTCTGTGAATTTCTTTTGGTTTCTAGTCTACCTAGAAATGAAATTGCTGGATGGAAGAATTCACCAAACTATTTTCCAAAGTTATTATACCAGTTTATATTCACCATCGGCAATCTTTGGGAATCCTCGGTGCTCTACATTCTCACCAAGGCTTAACATTGTCATTTTTAATGTTGCACTTCCCTGATTACTAACGAAGTTGAGCATCATTTTGAGGAGTTCTGCTCCTGTGTACAATTCTATATATGATTTTTCAGGCCTGACCACAGGCAATTACCAGGGCTTTACCTGCCAGGACTCACAGGGGAAAGCTGCCCCCGCATCACACTCGACTCGGTGCACGGTCGGTGCAGTACACTCTTTAAACAGAGTTACAGTCAAGGACCCCGGCCCTCCCTGGTCATGCTCTTAGGCACGTTCCTGGCCCCATCGCCTACACTCCTAAGTTTCTTTACCTGAGGCCTTGAGCAGAGGTCTTCAGGCACCTCTGCTGAGATCTTATTTGGAAATCTAGAAGAAACTTTCCTCACTCTGAATCAGCTTACCTGACCCTCCCCCCTCCATTTTTCTCCCACCCCTCCCCCAACACCCCCACACACGTAAAACAGCCGGGCCTTTGTGCAGGACCCCCTCAACGGTGAGAGAGCACCCACCCAAGGGGGGTCTGCTGCTTCCTTTGATTTGGGGCTCTTTAGACTTGATCGTTACCTTCACAGTTAAGTGATTAAAGGCATTCTTTCCTTTTTCACCTGTTACTTTAATCAGCTACTAACTACCTTTCAGCTCTCTCTCCTCCAAATCAGCTGAGCCCCTAACACTCCTTTCTGAAGTGCCTTGTACATGTGTGTTGTCTCTCTTATTCTTACTGGTTTTTAGCAGTTCTCCGGGTATTCTTTATACAAGCCCTTTTTCAGTTATATGTCACACATACCATTTTTCACTCAGTGATTTGACTTGTCACTGTCAATAGTCTTTCCACTGATTTCTTTAATGAAAAATTTTAAACATATACAAAAGTCGAAAGAATAAAGTAATAAACCACCATATACTCATCACTCAGCTTCAGCAATTAACCGTTTTATGGCCAATTTCTTTCCTCTACACCTCTAGGTTCATTTGTCTTTTGATGAACAGAGTTCTTAATTTTAATGGAGTCCAA